AGCGACAAAAACTGCGGGGAACTATGCAAAAAACGCATTATCGCACGGACAGCCCGTGCGTTGGCCAATTTCATTATATTGATTTGTAGAAACTTACAATCTAAAAAGGAAACAAAAAGAAATGCCAACCCCTGGTTCAACGACAATAAATACAAGGTAATCTTTATGGATATGTTCCCGATACAGAACAATTTGTATGAACGGTTTTCTCAAGAAGAATAATGCCTATTCTGTGATAGTAGAAGCGCTTTTTCTTCAGCCCGGAATTTATAGGCTTTGAAATCCTAAATTTTAGACACGGACCCTAAATTATAGCCTCGATTCTGCTGAACGGCAAACGGTGATTTTGCGTGAAAACTGTTTTAGAAATATGCAACAGTACAAAGCCGACTAAACGAACTTTGTGCAACAATCGAGGAAAAGGAACGACAACTACGAGGCGTTAGAAATGGATTGAATGAAAAGGATGAACAAATTGGAAAACTCTGCGATCGAATTAGAGCACTTGAAAATAGCTGCGAAAGACTGCAGTCCGTTATCGAATCTTTTGGGTTAGTTAATTTTCGCGAATATTTAACCATTCCGGTATCAAATTACAGGAGCCAAGAAAAAGAAATTTCGTAAACGTGACCCCAATTTTTTCCCAGCAGCTGAGAGTTGCAGTACCTATCACCCCTTCTTGCTCCCGACTTCCCCTTCCGTTTCCCTCATCCACTATTCGATCGCGGAAAATATTGGCAAAAATTGACGAACTAGAAGGGAACGGAACAAAGAAGAATTTCAAATTTTGTAATTGAGTCACCAATAATGAAAGCCAAGTAATCGAATATTTTGCATTTTAGCAGTGGCTGGATTGTTGAATTTTCTACTTTATTCTTCGGTCCGACATTTTACTAGTTTTACAATCTGTGCAGAAAACATGCGTTGTTTAAAATGGCAGAAATCTTTCGCCCTTGGAACTTCCTTCGTCCATCAGATGCTATGTAGCCTGCTGCGTCAAAACATTGCAGAGATGAAGCTGATCAAAAAGAAGTGAAACTACGCGAAATTATCGGCGAACGTGATGGCTTAGTTATAAGAAATGCTTCCCTCTCTCGCCAGGTAACGTATTTTTCACATACGATCGTTGGGAATGCAGAAAACGAGAGGCTGGAGCCAGTGAGGAGAAATAGCGGGCTCCGTAAAAAGTGAGGGAAGAGGAGAAAATGGCGCGAACTCAGTTTCTTGTTAAAAGGCCTAAAAATTCAATTTCCAACTTACCGTTACTTTGGTGATGAAAAATTTGCTCCCCATGATTTTACTCATTTCACTTAATTATTTCATCTGGGCCCTCCCCCTCTTTAAATGAAAAGATTTGTTGAGTATCTTTTTTTTGCAATATTTTAGCTCAGATACTGAGAATTATAATCAAGCATAGGATGAGTGAAGTGAGAGTTGCAGATGGAATACGAAAGACGAGAATGGTCGATCGAACGAGAGCGACTTTCGATGGAGCTCGATGATGTGACACGAGAGCTGGAGTTACAAAAAATGATCCTGAACGGTGAAAGTATCTCCGAAATCGTCCAACGAGTAAGCAGACCAACTACTATAAATTCCCAAAGAGAAATTGAAGGCAAAGAAGAGGAGCAACAATAATTTCATTTAACGCTTTCCCACCTAATTTTGCCTTTGTCTAGGTTTGAACAATCGGGATCTTTTGCTCCCTCAGTTCAGCCAAAAAAAAAAAAACAATTACTAAAACTCGGCTCGGCTCGTGTCTTACACGATTAACCAAAAATTTTTTCTATGGACGACGGGTAGGGTTGCCCGTGCAGCCCTGTGCTACAAATACGGTCA